ACGAAGCAAGGCTGACCTCTGGAAAAAATATAGCGTTTTCGCAGAAGTGAACGGTGCCTGGTCCGGTCCCCAGGTATGATGCACAAAACTTGTCCGTATAATGGACAAAATCCTGCGGGATAAATCTGAACGATCTTCAAACAACAGCCTCAAGCATTTGTACTAAACCAATGCACCGTGGAAATGCCACTTTCATTTCCTCTTAAAAATGCACTGTTTTAGAGCAGAATACCTGAGCTGTTATGGTCTGTGCCCAGTAGCATTGCAACGCCCAACTCAGGACCAGAGCATCTCCGTTGACTCGCAGCGAAATCTTAAAAAACGTGGGTATACAGTTCCCTATGATACCCCTGTGTGTGGCAAAGCAGCACGAGGTTCTAAGACCGACCAAGAGGTTTCAATTCATATTGAAGTCCTATCAAAACGAATATACAAGCCTATGTTTAGCCGCACAGCAGAGTAAAAAGCAACAATGAGATATGTACCAACTCCTTTTCAAACAGATGACTTCAGGGGATACATAAGGTGAACTGGCATTTCGCAAAATGCAGAACCGCTGTAAATCAGAAATCCGCAAATGGAACACACGAAAACAAGCGACCATCTTGGACCTCACTCGAAAAAACAAGAACGTCTTGTTAAAATACATGAGACATCGCCGCAGAAACAAGCCATCCGCGTTCTTCTTGAGGGACAGAAACGGAGAACCGACAAATGACTCAAAAGTGGTATCTGAGGTTTACACAGAACACTATGCGTGTCTATACTCAGCCCCAACGTCCTCGTCAAATCCATTCTTGTCAAGGCCGAACTACGAATAGCCCCAACCGAGTGGTCTTCACGGTGGAGGACAATAGACAACTCTTGCACAAGATCAACCCGTTCTGCGCGTTGGAGCCCGACAAGGTCCATCCAAGGATCCTTAAAGAAACGTCCTCCACACTGGCAAATAATTTACGCCTGGTGTTTCGTCAGTCGCTTGACGAAGGCCGCCTTCCCTCTGCTTGGAAGGAAGCGATTGTCACGCCAATCTACAAGATTGGTGACCGAATATCGCCCGGCAGCTATAGGCCTACAAGCCTCACTAGCGTGCCGTGCAAGGGGGTGGAACGCATTCTGAAGCGAGCTATTCGAGATCACATTACTTCCAGCAATCTGATATCTCCAGCTCAACACGGATTTCTCGCAAACCTCTCTTGCGTGACAAACATGCTCGTG